TGCCTGGGCACCAGGAGGGGCTGCAGGGAGAGGGCGGGGGGGCCGGAGCTGGGTCGTGGGGCCTGGGGGCCTGAGGGCCCGCCCTGAGACGGGCCCAGGCCTGGGTGGTGAGGGGTTCCGGAGGGACTAGAGGCAGCGGGCTCCGGGGGGCAGTTAGGTGGAGTGGGGGGGTCGTGGGGCAACGTGGGTTGCTTTCTCTTCCCCAGGAGAACAGAGACTAGTCCCACGTTTGCCTCTGATAGATTCTCCTCCAAGTCACAAGACCCTCCCACTGCCTCTCAGGCCTCCCTCAGCTGCAGGGGAACAAAGCCAGACAAAAGTCCTCTCACCGAAGACGTCTGAAGCCACCGACAGTCCCTTCCTGTGGATGCAGAGATTTGATGCCGCCACAGGAGGGAGGGAGAGGAGAGGGCACTGGGAGTCCTGGTGACCAAAGGACCGTTTCCAGTTTGTTATGTGAAACGAGGACTTCAGGGTCCAGATTTCCGCCCAGAGGGGGAAGAGTTAAAGGCCTCCGCTCATCTCTCTGGGCCAGGAGAAGTCTGCACACAGCCAGCCAGAGCCCCGCGGGCCGCTTGACGAGTGCCTGCCAGATGCTCCGGACTCCTCGGGGAGCTCCCCGCCTGCCCCAACCCAGATGTCCCCTCCCACCACCCTCCGAGAGCAGGGCGGTGCACCTGCCTGGACCCTCACACCCACATCCCAGAACCACTGCTGTAGGTCCAGGGGGTGCTCGATGGCTCCCTAGAAATGGGGGTCCCAACAATGAGACAGCTGAGGAGGGTGCTGGATTCCAGGTGGGCAGGGGGCACCCACTGCTTTCTGGCACCTCTCTGAGGGTGGGGGGGTGAGCCGAGAGGGAAGGGCTGTTGGAAAAGGAAGCATCCTTACAAATCAGGAGCAGAACAAAGCTCCTGCAGAGAGAGAGGCCAAGACAGAGGGAGCCCACAAGGGGAACAATTAACTGATAAGAGCAAGCTAATTGTTATTCATATTAAATTAGGGCACAGGTGATTTGGAGAAAACCCACAGACCCTTCCAGATGTCCTGCGAGTTCTGCACTGCAGATGATGGTTTTATGGAACTCTTCTGGGAGTTGGATTGCAGAAGCTGGGCCTGGACCAGAGCGGGGCAGGGCTCCCGTCCTGCTTAACTACACAGTAAACACATAACAGCTTGTCCCAGAGGACAGACCCGGCTTTGCATACTAAACATTGCGGGGCTAGGCTCTGGGGGCCTCTGAGAGGGGGGCTCGCTCCTGGCAGCAGAGGAGTGAGGAAGGAAGAGCAGTCACTCAGGAGACCCAGGGCTGCTCCAGATGTTCCAAGCATGACTAAGTGAGGGGAGGCTGGAAATCCAGATGTGGAAAGCAGGGATTCCCACGGAACTGCAGAGGCCAACAGGAAGACAGGAAAAGCGTAGGAAGGCAGCAGTGCAGCCAACCACTGTGCGGGGACTCCTGTGTGTGTGCACACACGTCTGCCCGTGTGCAGGTGGGCGCACATGTGCACATGTGCCTTCGAGGTATAGGAGTGTGTAGTTGTGTGTGTCTGTGCATGTATCAGCCACTGTGTGCATATTTCCTGTCCCCAGAGCCGTCTGTGTATCTCTGTGCGTCCGTGCACTTGGGGTGATGCCAAAACTTCCCACTCAAACTAACAGCAGGCTGTTCTCTCTTCACTGAGGCTTATGCTAATTTTAATCCCACATTACTGTTCTTATTTGGCTCTAAAAATTAATATTTAAAAATTCCATAAGCAGGGCCTGGGGCTAAATTACAAGATAGGTCCTCCTGGAAAGGGGTTTATTGTCACTGTTGTTCTTCCAAGAATGGTGAGGGTACAGCCAGTCACCCCACCTGTCCCATCTGCCTACCCTCCCGCTAGATGAAGGGCGAGCAGCCTGACACCTGCAGAGAGGGCCCTTGGTCACAGTGGTCAGGACCAGACAGGACTCAGAGCAGGCAGTCCAACCCCTGGATTGACTGCTTCTGAAGAGACTGGCAGCCAGAGTGTGTCACTCAGGCAGGGCCTCCACACGGCCTCCTCCCAGGGCCTTGTCCTGGGGGAGCTGATGGAGAGATGGGGTGGCTCTGTCATGCCTTCACACCCTCCTGGGTGTGTGGGTTCTGGTTGTTGTGGGTTTTGTCCAGCAAAAGTCCCACCGCGGAAGAACGAGATTACTCAAGACTTTATTAAGTCAAGAGAGTGAGAGGGAGCTAGAGACCAACTCTCCGAGCTCCTCCAAAGCTCTTGTATTTACTGAGAATAGTCAAACAAAAGAATCAGAGTGAAATACGTCATAGGAATAAAGGGCATGGTACACCTGCAGGGATGCAGGCCAGCAGTTTCAGTTAGTGAAAAGCAGAAACATTATAATCTTAATTTATACTTAGAAGGTTACGATATTGATAGTACAAATGGTTATTTTAAACCTCAATCATGAGCAAGGTTACAGTGTTCCGAATAATTGATAATGAAAACCCAGACCACCACAGAGTCTCCATACTATGATCAGAAATTGTCTAAGTACGCGAAGCAGCCCAGCTGTCCCCAGCTGAGGCCTAAGTCACGGTCTTCGGTGAGCAAGAGTGGCCCACACTATCCACCTGCGCCTGATGAGCGAAGCATGTCCTGCCGGTTAGGGCAGGGGACAAGCTACGGTTTTCCATAAGCACAAGTGGCCCTGAATCTATGACCTCGAACTAAGCAAAGCAAGCAGAGCATGTCTCTGCTTTCTATGGCGAGGAGACAGTTTGCAGCAGATTCTGCTAGCAAAGCAGCTTCAAGGCAACTAAGCTAAGTTCCCCAGATGAGGTGGTGACTGGTACTGAGAGTTTAGTGTTTTGTGCTCTCAGACATTTTGCTTTGAGGTAGCTGCATAATGACAAATATAGAAAGCACTGGTTTTGATTATACATTTCTTATGCTCTTACATAAAGATGAGAATACATAAAGGTGAGAATATGATTTGGTAAAAGCAATTTTTACAATATCAAAGTTAGATAAGCCAAGTTTGTGCTCCCACACAGGTGAGCCCCCTGGGGGCCTCCATCTCCCTGCTTGTAAAATGAGGTGAGGGACCTGGAGGGGCTCTGGGGGGTTTCTGGGGAGGGAGGCAGTTTGTACTCAAGCAAAGTGGTGGCCAGGCCCCTCTTCTGGGCTCATCTGGGCAGCCCTCCCCTCTCCAGTCAATGTGGAGGCAAGGAGAACTCGGAATCAGAAAGGTTCTCTCAGCAGAGTCTCAAGGAGCAAGGATTATCGAAACAGGGGAGGAAAAAGCAGGGCAGGACTTGCTGTAATTCCTGCCTCTTTAAGAGAATGAGGACAGGATCCTGCACTGCAGCAGGACATACTCAGGTTAGATTTGGCAGAACTTCCTTGATGGCAAAGAAGGCTGTTAAACACAGGGACAAAAGAAGCGGTGAGAGGGAGGGACGTTGTCCTTACAAGCATAATTAGTTATATTTTCATGTGTTCCTGAGGTGGTGTGCATGGTGGGACCCCTTCCTCACCTCAAGGTCTTGAACAAAGTAGCTGATTCTGAAGCCCCTGGTCCCACCTGATCCACCCACCACACATACTCAGAAGGAGTAGGGCTGCATACTGAGCAGGGCAGAGAAGGTGATGGGAAATGGGTCCACAGTACATAGAAACACACTGCCTGGTGGTGCCACTTTGATCCAGCAACACAGACAGTGGGTCTAGAGTTGTCACCACGTGAGGGAAGGAGTCCTCAGACCTGATGGGAGAGTCTGAGCTACTAGAAGCACTGACATCCTCTGGTCCCGCTAAGGTCAGAACCCACCTACTGGAGCTGCCTTCTGGGGCTGTGAGGCGAACACAGGGTGGCCCTGACAACTGGTGTCTAGTAGGAGGACCAGCCAGGGATGCAAACCCTAAAAACATATGTTGGATAAGTCTCTGGCAACTTGATAAAAGAGCATTGGGAAGTGTCCCCATAGATGACTGCGTGTCACGGCTACATCTGCACCCCATACACACATGCACACACGTGTGCACACCCAGGACTCACTGGTTGCACATTCTCCAGCCCACCCAGCACATGCAGGCAGGAAACATGCAGGGGCTTCTTTGCCCAAGGAGCCCTGGGAAATTCCTGGGCAGCCTGCCGGTCCCGCTGCTCCTCTCTGCTCCCTTTCCAGCCTCTCTCCAGCCCCCACGCTGCCTGCCGGTTGCCTTTTCTTTGGAATGTCCAGTGCACTGGGGTGAGGGGGAGTGGGGATGTCGAGAAGGACACACAGCAGCTTGGCAGGCCTTCGGAAAGCAGCAGTGCTGACAGGTGCGGCCCCCCTATAGGCCGGAGCCTGAGACACCCATCTCCACCCAACAGGCACCCCGGTATCCCGGCAGGTACCAGTTGCCCCACCAGCCATCTCCCTCTCCGGGTTCTTGAAGCCAAGGGGGAGCGGCACCCTCCCCGCTCCTGGCTCTGCCTCTCGGTCCCAGAGAACCGCCCCCCAACTGCCCAGCCCGGAAACAATCACCCTTTGAGAAAGCCTGCCAAGCCGGGCGCCAGGAGCCGCCGGGATGCAGGCGGGGTGGGGGTGGGGGGCTTTAACTCCAGAGAGCAAGGCCCAGAGATGTCGCTCCGCCCGCAGCCCCGGCTCCAGCGTGCAGCGCCGGGGCCGCCTCCGCCGGGGAGGGCGCGGGGGTGATACCAATCCGGGGGTCCCTTCCCTCCGCGCCCCCGCCTCAGCGGACGAG